TAGGAAAACACGATGCAACGCCTATAGGTGAAAATAAACAGCGATTTCGTCTATGCTCATCACCGTCCAAAGTTCATCGTACGTTCACAGTTGTTTAGTAGTGTTTTATTTTTTATTTTTTTTCTACAAATCGGAACGATCGGAAATTTGATGCATGTTCATAAAAAATAAGAGAATCTAATAATAATAATAAAAATTGTAAAATATAAATTGACGAAAATATCTATGAAAAATTACGGGGGTATTTTGATCAATTTATATTTTTCTTAAATATTTTTTTCATATTTTTATTAGGTGTGTTTCACTAAGATGAACATACATTTCAAATTTCATATCATTCCAATTTATAGAAAACAAATAAAAATTGAAACACTACCAGATAATCGTGACCGTGTGATGAATTTTAAACGGTGATGAGCATAAGCGAAATCACTGTTCATTTTTACCTATAGGCGTTGGTAAGATTTTTCCTATATATATATGTTAGGGTGAGCACACTAGCTCATGGAATTGTATAAGCTCAATGGCCCATATTGAATCTGGACCGATTCGATGGTCAAGACTGTATAATGGTAATATAATTTTAAATATTTTTTATATAAATTCAAATAGCATGAAATTGAAGTATAACCTTTTTCTCATCAAGGTGCACCAAATAAAAATATTAAACAAATAATTCATATAAATAAATTGATCAAAATATCTTCGAAACTTTTTAGGCATATTTTTGTCTTAGTTTATGCGAATTATTTTTTGATATTTTTATTAGATTTTAATGTTTTTAAAGAATAGACACTCTAAATTTCAAATAATTTTGATTTGTAAAAAAATATTAAAATTCAATTACGAAATACAATTATGATCATTGGATTGGTCTAGATTCAATCTAGGCCGTTGGGCTTACACTGTTTCATGCCTATGGGTTTACAGAATTCTTTGTCATATATATATATATATATATAGGAAAATGCTTATGTGAGCCGATGGACTCACAAGAAAAAATGGGCTCATTGGCCCAGATATCTAATGATCACGGATGTTCGATAGTGTTTGAATTTTAATTTTTTTTTTCTGCAAATTTAAATTACTTGAAATTTTAGACGTGTGTTCATAAAAATAAGTAAATATTTGAAAAATATTAAAAAAAATATTTTACATGGAAAAATATGATCAAAATACCCTTTGAAAATTTGTTGGGGTATTTTGGTCATTTTTAATTTTACGGATTATTTTTTTAATATTTTTATTAGGTGCGGCTTGATGAGAAGAGCATTCACTTAGAATTTCTAGTGATTTGGATTTGTGGACAAAAAATTAAAATTCAAACATTCT